TGTGTGTGTGTGTGTGTGTGTGTGTGTGTGTGTGTGTGTCTGGTTTCATTTACTCTGTGTCCGTCTGTGTGTGTGTGTGTCCTGCTGTGATTATGGAGGTTGATTTTCAGCTGTCCAAACATCCTCTCACTTACACAATCACAACACACTCTCTCTCTCTTTTAGAGATTGGCCAGGATGGTCAACTAGTCGTCCACCAACCAAATATTCACTTATTTTTAAGTACTTTTAACATTTTTTTAATATTACATTTTAACCCTAAAAAGGGCAAACCCATAGAGACATCAGAAAATTAATTTAATGCTATTTTCCATCTTATTGGGACTCAAATAATACAATTTCATGATTTTTTTCAAAACTTGACTCTTATATTTGATTGTAATGTTTGTATCCCCCAGGATACGTCGCTTCTTTGTTGGTATAAATTCACTGAAAACAGAACACTTGTTTATCAATGCTTGTTACAGCATGGTTGTAATTCCTGAACGCTTTGGAGTACAGACCTAACATTGGTCTCTTTTTAAAGAAGACGCATAGCAGATTATTGCTGAAGTGAAAGCATTTCAAAAAAAGGTGAGATTTTCTTTGGGCACTATACCAAAAATAACCACTGGGTTACACCCAAACTCTATTGAATTTTTCTAATGCAGTTTTCTGTCACAAATCAATAATTTTCTGTCACAATATGACTTCTATTACAAAACAGTCACCAAATATGGAATCTTGACTGTCAGACCTTTCCAACGATTTGTCAAGATTACAAAAAGGTTTGATTTTCTAAAACACAAGCCACAAAGTCACACACTCTATGTTTTATATCTTGATTTATACCCCTAAAAGGGCGACGTATCCCCTGAGATACAAACATTTAGAGACAGATTACAAAAAATATAAGCATTTACTTTATAAAATTTCAGTGTAAACCTAATAAGCTAATGCTGAACAACAGCTTTTTAAACAGGTAAGTCCCCTCCAGCATGTGTAAATGTGTGAACTAGATCAACTTTTATCGGAGGGTGAGTGGATTTCCCACGACAGGCGGCCATGCAGTTTTAAATGCTGCCCGTGAGCTAAACAAAGAATGGAGAAACAAAGTCACCTCATCTAAATATTCACAACAAACACCCTTTCAACATGAAACCAAGAAATGAGACCTTCACTTTCACTGCTTCTCTCCACAGCTTCTCAAATGTTTGTATCCCTCAGGATACGTCGCCCCTTTTAGGGTTAAAATAATAAAAATAAAATCTAATAAAAATCTGTACTCAAACAATAATATTAATATGTGTGTAAATGTATGTGCCTGTGTATTAATAGTTTTAATAATTATTATAACAATATTAATAATATAATATTAAATAAAATACGAAAAGTACTTTCAAATCTGTACATGAATTATTTTTTATATTATTGTTATGATCATTAAAACATGTCTGTTTGTGTGTGTTTTAATAATAATATTAATAATATTTAATAATAAAATATTAAGATTATTATAATAATTTAAATTAGAATAATTACATTTTTTGATTATTCATTATTATTATTATTTTTATCTTTTTAGGAAAGTCTTCGAAACTACATCCGTCAAATCAGCTCTTGTGTAACAAATTGATTCTGGTATTTTTGTGCAACAAACATTCTGGATAATCTAGTATATCTATATGTCGACAGTCAATATTTAGTGTTCATAAATCATAATGACCCTAAAGCAGCCCCATTATTAAGACCAGCTAGTCAGCTAGTCGTTCAGGTAACTCACCTGTCTTGTTGATGAGCCTGTTTACATTCTCTCTGTCTTTTTTCTTGTGTGCGTTGGTTGTGTATGAACAGACATTATCGCTGCCTTCCCTGTGCTCATGTGAATGCTCTCAGAAACATCTGATTTCATTTTGTGACCTGGTTTTTGTTTCACTGATTGAAGGGCGTCATTGACACACACACACACATGTTCCACACGTGTTCCCATGATCCGCTGTAGATTCCTGTGGCGTGACATCACTGCGCTGGTGCTCTCTCTCCGCAGGCGCTGTGCATTAACGTTCAGTCGAGCGATGTGTGCGAGACGCTGGCGCTGGTGTTCTGTGGCGCTGATGTGAGCTGCGACACCGGCGACCCCGAGCTGCCCTCCCCGATCGCTCTGGCCCAACACCACGGACAGAACCTGCAGCTGGAGCTCCTCATGCAGAACCGCAACACAGGTGTGCGCCTCGGAGAACGTTGCTATAACTACGTCAGTATACTACATTTACTGACGTTCGACCTTTTGACCTACAGAACTCCCGAGGTCAGAGGTGAAGGTTGCCATAGATAGGGTGCACTACATGGCCCCGCCCTCCGTCACGCATAATGGGTTTCTATTCAAGACCGGCTCCATGGCTCGACCAATCACAGAGAAGAAGGGAAAAGAAGGTGAGCCAATCAGTGAATAGACATTTTTCTGAAATGTTATGTGCAAAATGGTTTCAGAATAATTTAATCTGATTTGAGTCTGTCCGTCTGTGCCTGTTAGAGTTCAGTCGGCGCTGGTGTGTGCTGAATGACGGGAATTTTAGCTACTATGAAAGTGACAAAAACGCTACACCGAACGGAGGATTGAAGATGAAGGAGATCGTCTGTCTGGCTGTCAGCCCTCCTGAGACTCATGGGTAATCTGGCCCACAGCATGTGTTTAAGGACTGTCACCTATCTGACAGCCTGATAATATAAACGTCTCTTTCTTTAGGTACGATCACACGTTTGAGCTGTACTCGGACGCCGAACGCTTGTATCTGTTCGGCACTGATAATCCCGAGACCATGCGCGAGTGGGTCAAATCCATCGCAAAGGTGACGTCACACCTGTTCTGAACCGATCGACGGGTTTTATCGGGTTTGAACAGCGTCTCATTTTCAGAACACCTCTCTGTGTTACAGTCGTTCATTCCTGCGGGTGCGGAGCATCTGTTACTGAAGGACTTCGAGCGCATCGGCCGGCTGCGTTATAAAGACAGACTGAACCGGGAGATGTCAAGACTGGGCTGGTTCTGTTTGGTGGGGTCCAACCTGCACATCCGGCTGGAGGAGCACACCGCAGACGAGACCATCGACCTGCAGAAGCTGCTGGAGCTCTGTGAGTCACAAAATGCCACCAAAATCAACAAAATGACTCCAAAACCCAACAAAAATGCAACCGAAATTGAAAAAATGGCATCAAAATCAGCAAAAATACCACCAAAACAACAAAATGACACAAAAAATGCAACCAAAATCACCACCAAAACCAACAAAAATAGCATGAAAATCAGCAAAAATACCACCAAAACCATCAAAATGACACCAAAAATGCAACCAAAATGACACCAAAAAAAAAGCAGCTAAAATCAGCAAAAATGCTACCAAAACCAACAAAAATCATCAAAAATATAACCAAAATGAGCAAAAATGCCCCTGCAGAATTAAATAAATTACGACGGTCACTGTTAAAGTGAAATGTGAAAATGAATGAAACATGTTGATTGTGGCATTTAGGATTGCAAAGGGGTGGAAAATTTCCAGAAAATTTCTCTAAACTTTTCAAAAGTTTCCAAAAAATCCAGGAAATTTTCTAACTTATTGCAACCCTAGTGGCATTACGTTTAGATCTGCTCACATTACACCAAAGATTCCTGTTTAGCTGTTGTTTTTTGCAGTGTTGAGCATCATAACCAATCACACGTTTCTGTTGAGTGCATGAATGTAGTGGCCAATCAGAGCTGTTTAAATTAGTCACTGGTGATTAAAGGGATCCCCGGGTATTAAGACATGTATAGCTTAATATAACGTAAATTATGTCTCTTATTTAAATATATAGTAGAAACCCCATGAAAGATGTATGTTATTTAAAAAAATCGACATGGTTTTTGGACTATGGGGGGCGCCATTATTTTATGTGCACAGTACATTCTGCGTCGATGACGTCAAATGGTTGCACTCGGTGAGCTACTGGCGCTTATTTCTATAGTTTGGCTTTTTACCGCAACACAACTCGGTGCTAGTCCAAAATATGTATAAAACGATGTGATTTTTAAAATAACATAAATCTTTAATGGGTCTTCTACTACATATTTCAGGAAGAGACATCATTTACGTTATATTAAGCCATACAAGTCTTAATACCCAGGGATCCCTTTAAGAAGTATTTGTCATAAAAAGACAACACTGATGCCATTCAATTAAGGTATTTATAAAAATTGCTTTTATGAATGTAAAAATGCTCCTGGAAATCAATTACAGCTGCCAAATATTGACCTTTTAATGGAAAAGTTAATTATTGACCCTGCTGTGAACTGAGCGTGTGTGTGTGTGTGTGCAGCGATCCAGCCGGAGAATGAGGTTCTGGTTCTGGTGGAGCGAGGCAGGTGAGCAGGTCGAGGTTAACCCGTTTAAGTCTCATATGTGTGTGACGGCGGGCGGAAGCTGACTAACAGGACGTCTCCCTGCAGGACGCTGTACATCGAGGGCGAGAGGAAGCTGGACTTCCTGGGCTGGGCGGCAGCCATCCAGAGGAATGCTGGGAGTTCTGGAGACACACTGAGTCAGCAGCAGCTGACGGAGGCCGACATTCCCGTGATCGTGGAGCGCTGCATTCATTTCACCACTCAATACGGTACTCAACTCTATTCTGCTGTACTCTATTCAGCTCTTTCTGACACAATTCTGTTCAACTTGATTCAGCTGTTCTGCTTTATTCTAATCTTCTCAACTCTACTTTGTTCAACCCCATGCAAATCTGGTTGTGCAACTCTATTTTACACTCTTTAATTCTGCTTTATTTAACTCTTTCTGACCCAATTCTGTTCTTTTCTACTTGATTCAGCTGTTCTACTTTTTTCTAATCTCTTCAAATCTACTATCAAATTTGTTCGGTTGTTCTGCTCTATTCAAATCTATTCTACACTTTAATTCCGTTTTTCTCTATTTAACTCTTTCTGACCCAATTCAGTTCTTTTCTACTTTGTTCTTCATACTTCATTCTTCTTTGTCCATCTCCATTTAAATCTGTTTAGTTGTTCTGCTCCATTCAACTCTATTCTACACTTTAATTCTGCTTTACTCTATTTACTCTTTCTGACCAAGTTCAGTTCTTTTCTACTTGATTCAGCTTTGTTCTACTCCATTCTAAACTTCTCGACTCACCTTGTTTTTAATTCACTTCTGTTCAATTGTTCTGCTTTGTTCAACTCAATTCTATTTCATATTCAACCTCACTGAATTCTATCCTACTCTTATTCTCTGTTTTTTTGTGTGAAAGAAACTTCAATCAAGTCTTTCTTTCTGTCCAAAGAATCAGGGGCAAATGAATCCAATTTGATTTAAATGAAATTGTTTCTGAGAAACTCATGTAAATGTTTGACTGCAGACAGCGATTGAAATAACACACACACACACACACACACACACATCACAAAAACATCACTTAAACAACAGATTCCTCTTGTGTCTCAGTAATCATGTGATCTTTGTCTTACTAACTAGTATTAAACAGTGAGCTCACCTAATGAGATTTAATGAGCTCCTAGATGTACACGTAACATATTAACAGATGATGACATGAAACCATGACAGTAAATGTGTCCCTGCAGACATCAGCTGACTGTCTGAGCTGCTGAGCTGTCTCTGATTCAATTTCATGATTCGTTTGGACTGATTTTGCGAAGCGTTTGTGAATCAGGGGACGGTCAGACAGAACTTTGTTCAGGAGGAAAAGCATTGAAGTATCACATGATAGAAACATTAACAACAAAAAGCTTGACACACTAATGGACTTGAAAGCAGTGATAAACTGATACTAACCAGAAAACTCAAGCCAAATCACCATTATTTGTGTAGCACTTTTCATGACACTGTGTCAAAACAGCGTTACAGAAAGGTTTATAGAAATACTTTTTGTCCATAATGTCTTTAAAGTCCCTATTGAACAGGTTAAATATATTAAAATGAAACTTTTTAAAATTTGTAATATTTGTAGTTCTATTAATATTATGTTGTTTAGGGGTCCATTAAGCATCATAAGTGTGTGTTGCTGTGTGTAAATGATGTTGTGTGTGTGTCCTGCAGGTTTGACCTCAGAGGGAATCTACCGTAAGAGTGGTGTGAACAGTAAGATCGCCGCCCTGCTGGAGGAGTTCAGACGCGACGCCAGGTGCGTTTGGCTGAAGGAAGGTGAACATCAGATGGATGACGTGTCCAACGTCCTCAAGCGCTTCTTCAGAGGCATCGAGGAGGGATTGTTTGGCCTGGAGGCGCACAGCTGGCTCAGCGCTACAGGTTTAGACCACTGGAATATTATGAAATTATATATTATTATTATTACGGCACGACGCTACAGCTAAAATGTTAACTAATAGATATCACCATACTTTCCCAAGTCGATTAATTATAGTATATTAAGACAATAGTTTTTTATTACAAGTTTCTGAAATGTTATGTTTAAATATGCATTATCTAATTAAATATGCACTAATTTGCATACAGTTTCAGAACAGAAATCTGAACATTGGTTCAAAATTCTTGTCTGATTTTGTTGGCATACTAGAGTTAAAGGTTTTTATAGAGGGGATTTTAGATTTCTCTTTTTATCACTGCATAAATCAGAAAATACCTTCAATAGACTGAAAGCAAACACAATTTTACCATGTTTTAGGAATAAAATTGTTATAGAAATCAGTGTGAATGATATACTGTATGAACAAACCCTTCAGTAAAACCCTTCAGAATATAGATATGAATAAACCCCTAAGTTTTGGTGCATGTAAGTGCTGCAGAAGTGCAGAAATAAACTCCAGATATAAATATGTACTGTTATTGAAATCTACAGACGCAAATGGATAAAGTACAATTAAATAAACCCTTAAATGTCTATTTTTTATTTTTTTCACTAGTCTGAAAGAAGACAAGTGAAGTGAAATAATCCAAATGTCATATTGTGTGTGTGTGTGTGTGTGTGTGTTCAGCTTTTTCAGACGAGAGCAGTCGGATCTGTCAGTATCGTCTTCTGTTCAGTAACCTTCCCCGAGTCAATCAGGCGACACTACGAGCGCTAGTTAATCATTTATACTGGTGAGACAAGCACTCTTCCTCTTTCTCATAGAGCACTTCCTCATAGCTCTCCTTTCAGAGAAGTGTTGAAAGTCTCTCTCAGACCTTCTGATGTGTGTGCGTTTGCAGCGTCCAGCGGTTTGCGGATCTCAATCAGATGAATCTTCACAATCTGGCCATCGTGTTCGGTCCGACTCTCTTCCAGGCGGACGGGAAGGACTACAGCGCCGGCAGAGTCATCGAGGATCTCATCCAACACTACGTCACTATATTCGATGTATGTTTGCATGTGTTCAGAAAAAATGTTTCCTGCGATTTTATTTTCCTAGGACATTTTAAAGTGAAGTTATAGGAAGTGCACATATCTGTCTGAAGAGTCTGGACTTTGTGTAGAGTTGATAAAACGGTTCAGCACCAGATACATGCAGTCACTAGCGCCATCTGTTGGTGAGATGAGAGTAAGAACTGCAGTGGCAGCACTGTGTGCTTGTGTTGCAGGTGAACGAGCAGCAGCTGAAGAAGCAGTTAGATGAGATCACATACATCATAAAGCTCAGAGACAACCTCGCGCCTAAAGCTGGAACGGTAAGAGTTACAATTATTGTGCTGTGTACCAAGTCATGCATCACTGGTGCTATTGCTGATAGTCAGTTACAGTAGGATTCTTTTTTTCTGAATTTTGCAACCCTAAATGACTGAATTTGCAGCAGCTTTTCTAAAAAATTTATATTTGCTGCATTTTTCATGTTAATTTGCAGTAGAAACAATAATCATTATGTATTTATAAAATGTGACCCTGGACACAACCAGTCATAAGGGTCAATTTTTCGAAATTTAGATTTTTGCATCATCCGAAAGCCGAATAAATAAGCTTTCCATTGATGTAAGGTTTGTTAGGATAGGACAATATTTGGCTGAGATGCAACTATTTGAAAATCTGGAATCTGAGGGTGCAAAAAAATGTAAATATTGAGAAAATCATCTTTAAAGTTGTTCAAATGAAGTTCTTAGCAATGCATATTACTAATCAAAAATTAAGTTTTAATATATTTACAGTAGGAAATTTACAAAATATCTTCATGGAACATGATCTTTACTTAATATCCTAATGATTTTTGGCATAAAAGAAAAATGTATACTTTTGATTATACACATATCACATCACATTATTGGCTTTTAATGAAATCATCAAACTTCTGCAGTTCCCTCACAAACCCCAGTTTAAGAAACCTGACACTAATCAGACTTACAGTTTTCATCAGGTTGACTATAAAAAAAGAAATCACTTTAAAGGAACACCTTGAACCAGACACCTACAGCATCTCCTACAACACCCTAGTAACCACCCGAACACCCTAGCAACCATATAGCATCACCCACAACACCCTAGTAACCACTCGAACACCCTAGCAACCATATAGCATCACCCACAACACCCTAGCAACACACTGAAACACTCAGAACTCTATGCATATGTATAGCAGCACTCTGGTGACACTCGCAGGAAGCACTGCTCATTTCAGTTAGAAAATATTAAATAGTTATTCGTTTAGTTTTTATTGTAATTATTTATTAGAGGCTTTGTTATTTGTGGCTCATGTGTGTGTGTGTGTGCGTGTGTGTGTTTAGGGCAGTGGTGATTTTATTTGTACAGTTTACTTGGAGAAGAAGAAGGAAACAGCTGAACAGCATGTGAAGGTGCGTTTGACCTTTGAACCTGAAGGTCAATTGTAAAAAAAAAAATCTGAACAACATCAAGGACCCACTTACATATGAAATCAATGATAAGTGTTAAAAAATGCTTTTAGTAGAGGAGATAAGTCCTGCTTTACATTTGCAAGGATACAAGTCAGTGTTTTTGAATAAATGTTCACGTACAACCTCCAGATTCCCGCCACGATGACGGCAGCAGAACTGACCTTTGAGATTCTGGACAGACGGAAAATCAGCGTTAAGGAGAAAGACTACTGGTGCTGCTTTGAGGTGAACGAGAAAGAGGAAATGGGTGAGTCACAGAACACCGGTTACCCGTCATACACGCGTTACAGTAACACGGTGGCTCACAGGTGTGTGTGTGTGTGTGTGTGTGTGTGTCAGAGCGGCCGCTGCACTATCTGGAGAAAGTGCTGCCCATCTTTCACTCTCTGGGCACCGACAGTCACCTGCTGGTCAAGAAGCACTTCTCCATGGAGGCCATGCTGGTCTATCTGGGTAAGAGACTGAGCTTTAGTTTGGACACACATGTGTGTGGATAAATAAAAATGTTTTCATGCTACTAAATGTAAGCGGGTTAATCTATAACAGTGCTTCTCAACCATTTGACTCCAAGACCCACCATTGCCTACAACAATATTCAAAGGCTAATATCTGCTGCAATGGCAATTTTTTTTAGTAGTTTTGATCTATAGACTGATAGTTTCTGTGCATTTAAATTTCTGCAGGGGTTTTAAGAGCTAAATGTTTTCCAGGGTTCCTGCACTTTTAAGCCAGTCAATTTGTAAGACTTTTTTAATTATTCGTGATTTGCTGGGTTAAGGATCAGGATTTTTAAAAATATTCATTACCTACAATTTCTGCCTGATAGAATATTTTAGAGCTTGACATAACTACAAGAATCTATATTCGTTATAAAAATGACCTTGGTGTTTGATTAATTTGGGATAGTGTATATGACTTTCTTCTTTCAGATGAATACAATCAGTTATATTTAAAAATGTTCTGGCTCTTCCAAGCTTTATAATGGCAGTGAATGGGTGATATTCAATAGTCCAATAGAAGTTCTAGTAATTAATTTTTAAATTATTACTTTGTAATAATCTATATATTTAGCTTTTTCAAGGTTGTGGTAATCCTGTTTTTGTCAAAGACAAAAACAGCTATGATGTAGGGGTGTGCGATATTGACAAATAATATCTCGATATTTTCTGGGATTTTATCGATAACGATAATTAGACAATATTTTGCTGATTGTGTTATTGTGCTGATATCTTACCTAAATTTTTTGATATTCTTCATATTCTGTGTGGTGGTCAGTTCACACTGATAGAAATTAATCTTTCCCAATAAGTTTAAATTGATTTTATGGGCATTTTTACCTTTATAAGCCATTTTTTAAGCCAAGTGTGCATTATCTTTTGAGTCAAATTCTTACATTTAACCAGTGAATTAGAATAATAAGACATTTGGGCTGTTACCAAGCAAATTAAATCAGTATCAATAAAATTCATCTTTGCAATGCAGAGGAAACACAGAAGCTGCGTCTGAAGAGGCATTTAGATGTGTTTACACACTACTGTTTAGTGCAGAACATGAATGCATTTAACCTGCAATTACAAATGCATAAATAATGTTTTGATATATTAAACATAAAATGTTGAATACTGTTATTTGAAATTATTTAAATAATAAAAAGAAACCTTAAATGTGAAATGAAACCCGCCAGCAGGTGGCAGCAAGTCACTGTTAATAAGTGAGTCATTGCGATTGAACCGAATCATTTAAACGGTTGATTCATTCAGGAACGAATCGCCGACATGTTGCTCAGACACAAAACAGTGTTTGGAATTATTTTTGTTGGTGAAATAGCGCAAAAACAGGCAATGTGGTGTCTAAAACATAAGTCTATTAATTAACTTCTTGTTTATTTAAGTGTTGTAAAAAAAATCAATATTACATTTGTAATCAAAATGGTAAATATTAAATTTTTTCTCCAAAAATTACCTTTTATTATTGATTTTTTACAACAGTTCAATAAACAAGAAGTTAATTAATAGACTTGTGTTTTAGACACCATATTGCCTGTTTTTGCGCTATGAAAAAAATGACACACTTTGTGTGATAATAACTATATGAAATTATATAAATACATGCATTTTCTGCCCCCATGTCTTGAATTTTGTGATCATTCTAAATGTATTTTAATAGACTGAATCAGTGAAAGAACGCACTCTAAATGCGCGCTCGCACTAGTCTAGACTTCACGTAATGTATGCGTGCGCTCTGTAGGTGTGTTTTGAACGGGCTTTTGCAAAATACTCTATAATGTCAAATCGCACATCGTTAAAACAACAATTACGATATTATCGCAGATGATATATATCGCACACCTCTACTGTGATGGTGAATTAAAAAAAAATAGAAAAATGTTTTAGCTCATTTAATGCTTGTTTTGTTTTATTTTCAATCGTTAAGTCATCTTGAGGCCCTTGGAAGTTTATTGAGGCCCCTAGTGGACCTTGGACACCTGGTTGAGAATATAATACACTATAATAATTAATAGATGAACTTTATTTAAAAGTGGTAGAAGTCTACATGTGCTCATGTAGATCAGGTAATGTGTGCAGTGTGTTCATTATAATCTCTATGTGAGAATATTTAATGATTCTGTGTGTGTGTGTGTGTCTGTGTGTGTGTGTGTGTGGTACAGCCAGTAAAGTGGAGGTGTCCAAACACGGTATGATGAAGTTCAGAGAGGAGAGGAGTCTGCTGGGTTTTTGCAGTCCTTTTAGTACTTCAAGCTAAACTAAATGAAAATAAGAAATGTTGCCTTGCCTACTATCTGAAATAAAATGAAGTTTTTGTGTATTTTATTTCAGTTTATCATGCTTATTTTATTTATGGTTTGAGTTAATGATTATAATCTTAGTGTGTAAGAGCAAATGAGTGATTGATGTTCTGCTTTGAAACTCTCATACACAGAATCTGCAAAAGCTGCAAAGCCCAGAGCTGCAGTGTGTGAGTACAGATAGTGTGTGTGAGAGCGGTTCCTTCAGGGTTTGGTCGTCTGTGGTCATTAATTCACTTTATGTGGAAACAGTAGAAGTGTGTGTGTGTGTGTGTAGAGATTTAGTGTCCACTGCTCTCTCTTGCTCTGGTTTAATGGGTTCTCAGGTGGTGGTTTTCCTGTAGTTTTGGGCTCTAGATGGAGTGAGCGTGTGTGTTTCAGTAGGTTTATCTCTCTCTTTCTCTCTCTGTTTCTGTAGAGTAATCGTCCCGAGAGAGAGTGGCCCGTCAAGTGTCTGAAAGTCTATCACGGCATGAAAAAGAAGCTCCGTCCACCGACATGGTGAGATCAAATCTTGAACTGAATCTGTTCTAAACCCTTGTGAGCTTTCTAACTAGACAGCATGTTAAGGTGCTCATGACATCATCTAGGGTTTTGTTTCATGCATTAACATGATTTTCTCCAAAGCAGCTTTTGAAACTCATAATAGTGCAAATGTTCAGCAGAAGCGGATGTGCTGTGATTTCTGACCAGCAGGTGTCAGTGTGAGTCAGGACAGAATCAGAGGCTCTTCCATGAATCCTCTAGTTTCTTCTGTTTGAGCTGTGTTTAAATTATATTGAGACGAGCTGCTTCATAAGAGATGTCAGTGTAGTGAACGATCAGGTCAGATTCATTTACAGCATCTCAGCCAATCAGACCAAAAACTCCCATCTGGCTCTTTGTATCATCAGCTGCATTTGAGCTTTACACACTCCAGATTCAGAGTTTCTCCTCATTTAAGAACATCTAGACATGATTATCTGTGGAAATCAAGTGGTGTTTAACCCTTTAATCTCTCTGTCTGTCTGTAGTTGGGGTCTCACAGTCCTCTATGAAAGTGAGAAACAGGAAAAGCAGGAGAGACAGCAGTGGTGAGAACACACTCACACTCACACACACTCACACTCACACTCTCTCACTCACACTCTCACTCTCTCACTCACACTCTCACTCACACTCACACTCACACTCTCAACTCTCACTCACACTCACACTCACACTCTCACTCACA